CAGGTTGAACCCCTGAGGCGGGATTGCATCCCTTCCAGCCCTTACCTGTGAACACACTTAAGATACCTCCCTTGAAACAGAAAATGGGAAAACTCTTTGAATGTTGAAAAACTCTACACTGACAGAATGTACTCTGAATTAACTCAATAAATTCCCTGCCATCGTAGTTTTAAACTTGTAAGTCCCAAAGATACAACAATGTAAACCAACTTTATCTCAGTAACATAATTTGAAAACAAAAACTGTCTACCCTGTGTTCTTCCAAACATGAGAGTGTTCTTTTTCACGCAGTAGAGTGCATAGCACGGGAGTTGCATGACATCCTGTGGACCCAACCAACTGCAGCTGGGCCCTTCTCAATGACATGGAATGAATTGCATGGTAGAGCTCACCCGGTGTTAGGGATTGGACCTCTAGCATAGCAGAAACACACAGCAAATAACAAAGCTTTAGTAATTATTTAACTGAGCAAAGCAAAGAGTAATTTCCTTTTGAACAGCAGCAATATTCAACTGTAGACACTCAGAAAGAATATGTTAACTGAAACTAAATAGAAGAGGACAAAGAAATGCATGATGGAAATGCAAGACCCCTTTTTGTCATTTGCAGGAGATACACTGAAAAGTCAGAAGCCAGAGTCTTGGATGTGAGGATGGGTGTCACTGACCTTGCTCTGAGATCTAAGGAGAGAAGAGAAACAAGCAAGTCTCAAAATGATAGGATGGGACAAGATGACAACTCAAGAAAGCAGGGAGGGGTTCTAGCGATGATCACTTTATTGGTCTAAAGGTTGGTCTCTGGTGATGTTCTCTGAAATGAGATGCACAGACCCTTAATCTTCTTCAACTGAGCTCTTACTAAGGCCCAGTATGAAATATTGGGACACTGGTTGAACTGGAATTTTTTGTGTTACAGTAATAGAGAAAGGTGTTAGGAAATTGAAAACTGTTAAGAAAATCAACAGTAAGACAGCAGGCAGGAGGGTACACAAACAAAGGAAATAAACTGTCCAGTCACCCTCAAGCACTTAGAAGCAACCGTTTACATATAAATAATAACCTAATTGTGTATCAGTTATACCTATCCACTGAAGGAGATTCAATAAAAGATCATCATTAGGTGCTATTTAGAAATCTTCATTCATGTTTCTCCCCTCACCTAAGAATAATAAAACTGAGTACATTTGCATTATTTTGTAATTTAGGCAATTTAATAATTCAGACAGGTTTCCCTCCCAGTTACTTTGAATTAATTTTCTCATTTTTAAGAATCAATGATTCCAGATACATTGCTAGCAAATTCACTGGCAAAAATTAAAGGCCATTGTGAAGAGTTTCATCTTTGTCTTCCATTTGGATAGCTTTCTATTCAGGTTCCCCACTTATTTTCTGATGATTCAGGTCCCATCCTCCTTGAAAATTTCTGGTAGTTTCTTGAAGACCATATTATTCCTTAATGCTGGTGGCTAGGAATGGAGGAGTCGAACTGGATGGGACCTTGAACATACGAGAAATTAGAAATTGTGAAGGAAACTGAGAAACTGAAAAACAGTTTCAGGAAACTGAAAGTGTGAAGGGTCTGAACTGAGAAACTTAAACCTAAATAAGTTAGTTTTATGAAGTCCATGATAGAGGAAGAGATTGTTGAACTCACCCGATAACCCCCATGCCGATATCCAAGGACATGCAGAGTAGGCTAGAATTGTAGAGGGGCAGGGGCAAGGATTGGGGGTTACAGACGGGAAGGTGGAACAGACCATAAGCGTGTGAAGGAAGGAATAGTAAAATCTAGAGACGGATGCCTTATGTCCTGCCACCAACAGAGCATTGGGGCTCAGAGGAGAACTGGAGTTCTGGGTAGGAAACCAAGCTAGAAGTCCAGGAATGTGGCCTGAGCAAGACAGCTAAGAGTGGGTAAGGCTGCAGCACAGTGGGTGCAGGTTACTCAGGGTAAACCAGACACCCACCCTTGGTATCACACTAATCCCATACACTGCCTGTGGAAATCTATAACTTACCTTGGTCACATTGGCTTGAAAAATGGGATAAGGATAAATTGAATGCAAATGTAGAGAATGTGCCTTGGTGCAGACAACTGGTAGAGACCAGGCAAGGCAGCAACTCACATGTGGTGTTGTTAACCAGACCTCCACCTCTGACACAGAGAAAGCCAGCTTTCTATTGCCTGCTATGGCAAAACAGAGGCCATTGACAAGAGCAGATCACCACCCTTGGTTAGACAGTAACTGTTTATTAAGCATGTCTGTTGCAGTGCCAGATTCTTGAGAGAATATGAAGCCGACAGAAAGCATTTCTTTCACACAGGAGCTTAATGACTGTTCCACTTTTGCCCAACACATACTGAAATAGCAGTTTAAGGTAAAGTTGGATAAAGTGGAAGAAAGAGAGGTACACTCCATGACATTACTGGCACTCAGAGGAGAGATGAATCCAGGAGGGCTTCATAGAGGAAGCAACCCCAGAAAAGCCTTAAAGAATGGTGGAATTTAGATAAACACAGATGAAAATAGAAGCCAATTCCAGGCGGAAAGATATACCATGGGTTGTGAGAATTCAGTGAATACGTTACATAGGACATTTAGCAAGATTCCTGGCATCAAGAAAGCCCACAGCAGATGAGTTATATGGCTATAGCTGCTGTTATGAGTTCTGCTACTTTTACTGCTGTTACCATTTTTATTTTTATGTTATGTTGACTGCTTTTGGTAAAGACAATGGGGATTATAATGACTCATTTGGGAGAGAGTAAAGCAGCACACACAGTTTTGACTTTTTTCTTGAGAAATTTGTGGGATAAAAGGAATCACAGTAAACAAGAGTTTGCAGAACTGTTTCTGTTCCAACAGTGTATCGAAACCTCTACTCAAAGGGAACCTTGCAAAAAAGTTACACCTAAGAAATTTAAACTGGCTTCTCACAAACACCACCTCTGACTGCCATGTAACTAAATATTACTGCTTTAGTCAATGAATGTCTCTCAAAAAATGCAAGGGAACAATCTAAGCCCCTAATCAGAAGAGAGCTTAATTCCTCTTTCTGCTTCTCCTCTTAATTCCTCTTTCTGCTTGCAGTTGTATTATTGCAAATGTATCAATAGCAGAGTGAGAAGAAAACAATGTGATTCCCTTTAGTTGCTAGAGGTGATGTTGCTAAGACAGAGTACACACTCTGGGAGAGCCCAGCAGGGATTTTTTTGTCCAAATATTCAAACCACACCACCTCAGGAGTTGTATTCAAAAAATGGCAAATGAAATTTCAGTTAAAAATGATTATTGCTTGAGTCTCAGAACTACTGCCTTATTGCTGATCATTATCTCTTCTGCAGCGGCCTGTCTCTTCATTCTGTTTGCTGTCATGTTCTATAAATATCAAAGAGCTGCAGAGGCAGCATAAGGGAGAGGAGCCATGTGCTTCCTGAAGCACAAAGCCTGCTTGCCCAGGATGGAGTCTCCAGGTCTGCAGGCTGACTTCACCGAGGTGCTTTTTCAGTCAACAATAAATGGCAACAAACTCCAATTTCAGTTTCTACTTTTTCATGTGGAGCTGGGTGTTGGCATACGTTAGGCAGTGATTCCAGGGACTGGGACCCTTGTAGCCAGCCTAAGTGGCTTGCCCAGGTTCTGCTTCACTACATTGTCCCTTGGTCCTTGAGAAAGAGCCAGGCTGGCTCCTGAGAGCTCTCCCTGCTGAAAGTTTCTTTTTACAAAACATCCAGAGGATTAAAAAAAAAAAAAAACTAAAATTTTTCTTGATTATTTTCCTTTCTTGTATAAAGGATCAGTTTGAGGTCTGGGAATTATTTTAACACCTTACTGCACCATCAGACAGTGTGTGAAACAACCTGAGGTCCCAGCATTCCAATGTAAGAAACTGTTTTAGTCCAGGTCTCTGGATGGCTCTGGACCAGAACCTTGTTGTGGAATAGGGAATAGTATTGGTTTAATGAGGGGCATTTCCTCAACATGACTCTCAGACACTTGGAAGCTGAAACTCACCAAACTCTATTCCTTCATTTGTTCTAGGAGGCAACTTATTACGAAGGGTGGCACCACCAACTACTATCCAAAAAAATCTATTTATCAGGAATGTTCAATGCAAAGGATTACCAGAGGAGTGTGGTCCCCCCCTCCTTACTAAGTGGGTACCTGTAGGGTAAATAGTTTTCCAGGCTTTTCTTGCCCTCCCTGATAGGGCACCCTCAGTTGTTACATTGTTGCAAGCTGCCTTATTTACTTCTGTGGGCCATGGGCCGAGTATTGAGATAGTCACCAAGAGAAGCAGAAGCTGTAGAAGCAGGAGAGGGAAGGGGACAAAGAACATCAGAGAAGCCCAGAATGAAGACTTGTGGGGGGGCTTGGAGGCCTACTGGCCTCTTGGCCTCCCGGCACCCCTGCCTGCCGTGTGCCTGGTTGCTGCACTACATGTAAGAGCTCAATAAAAGCCTGAGAAACCCACTGAGGGCTCCAAGACTCTCCTTTACCCGTCTGGTCTGCTGGACCATAAAAACCCTGCTCAGTGGCCCTTCCCGGCCCTACAGTGCCTCTCATTCTGCAAGCACTGTCCTGGGGAATGTGCACTTTTTCTCCATCTCTGATCTTCCTGACAAAACCCCACAGCTCCAACCTCTACAAGAAACAGACATTTCAAACACTGCAACGGAATGAATTAAAAGTGCTTTTACCTAAGGAAAAGAGGGAACATGGAAAACATTATCCAGGCACAAATGTTACTGATGCTTCACACATTTTCACCTATAGCAGAAACAAAATCAGTATTCAAATCTGAAACTATAACATAGGTCTATGCATAGTAAGAAAAACCAGTTTTACCTCATCATTTATTTTTTATTCCTTTCAGTACAGAAAGTAAACTATACCCATTCACAATATTGGCTACAAAAGAAACTTTAATTGGGTCTTCTAAATTCTACCTGTCTCATTATTGAAAATCAGTGTTGGGAGGGGAAGGCAGAGAACTCACCTTGAAGGAGTAGTAGAAGGAGCCCCATTCCTTTTCTACCCCTGCAGTAAAAGTCACTTTCAGTGCAAAGGGCTGGGGAGAAATCCAGGGTCTGCGAGGTGGTGCTGGCTTCAGGGCTGCCCTCTGTGAGGTTGGCTGGCATGGCTCCCCTGGAGTTGAACCTGGCTGTTCTTGCACCTGCAGTGGAATAAGAGGCCAGCTCCATCCTGAGAGCTGGGCAGCAGCTGCAGCTCTGCCCTCCTCTGCTTCCCAAGGAGCGGAGCTCAGCTGAGCAGAGGCTCAGCTCTCCCAGAGCCCACCTCATTAAAGAGCTTGCCTGACCACACAGGTCCACATGTGCCTCTCTCCTCAATAGCCCCCAGTAGCCGCAGAGCCTTATCACCCCACACCCCAACCAGAGCCTGGATTTCACCCACAGAATGGTAAGAGTCCCCCTCAGCCATCCATGTGGCACCCTGGACATGTATTCTTTCCCAAGGGTGCCTTACCTAACTTTCACATTGGACCCTTGATACAGAGCAGCAAGGGGCACTAAACCCGGCCAAGGACACTGCCCAAATAGTTTACTGGTCACTGTCTGAGTTCTTCGCCCACGAGCACAATTACAAGACTACTCAGGCTCAGGGAACAACAACAATGGGATTTATTTAACAAACCAGGGAAAAACAGAGTTACGCCAAAAATGGCCTTTACCTCACCTGAAGCAGTATCCAGTGTTTTCCAGTCTTAAACAAAAGAAGCTAAAGTGGCATCTTCCTACCATTGAGGATAGGGAGCTTCTCTCCCGAAGATAGGCCGTGTGTCCAAGGTGGCATCTTGCTGCCTCTGCCAACCTGGTGTACACACAGCCAGGTCTGGCTCACAAAGACAACAGAAGACGCCACAGGAGATATTCCCAGAGCTGCCACAATGCCCCAGCATACCAGCAGACAAGCGACACTCAAGACAGCAGCTGTGGCAGCCTAAGGACCCGACAAACAGCCACACTCATGCAGCTCAGCGAGGCACCTGGCTCTGGGTCTTCGCCATCTCTGCCAGGCTGTAACCACAGCAAAACTGTTTCAGTTGCTCAGCTAATTGCAAACCCTCCAAACTTTTCTTCTCCAAGGTCGGCTGCTGGAGGCCTCTACCTTCAGAGGCCCGCAACAACAGCCTTCTGGAAGATCAGCGTGGTGGGGGCCAAAATCTGCTGACCCCAAATGCTGAAGAGGCAAAAACCTTGAATCCCGAAGACTGAATCAATCCACATCCCCTTTTGCAGACACTTATATTTCTTATCGGTTGCCCCATCCCAAAATGCAATACTTTTTAACATTTTCCCTGGGGCTATCTATCCTCACCAGCAAACCCCTCCAGGGGGCACCACCTGTAACAGTCTATGGCTTCAGCCACTGGTTACACCATCACTTCTGCCCCAGCTTCACTGGTACACGGAATTTGGACCTGAATTGATTAATTCAGGTCATGTTTGTACTTCTGAAATCAAATCATAATTATGCATTTGTTTCAGCCGAAGTTGCCTTCTGACTTGCAGCTCTCACCTAATCATTTACTTCATAATCTGCACATTATTTCAGCAAGTGTGGGCAAATAGTACATTTGCGTTTCACGCCCATGTTCTACTCTAGGTTTTCACAGGAGAGTGATCAGAAAAGTTTGGGGTCTGTGCTTATCAGTAAATCATCACAGCTCCTGATATGATGGAGAGTGGTACCTTGTAGAACTTAATCCTCTGTGTATTCTTTCAACTGATACCCAAAGCAAGCCTGTGAGGTAGACAGGGAACTTAAATTTGTGTCCTCATTTTACAATAAAGAGGTTGCTCTCAGAGGTGAAATGACTTGTCCAAGATCTCACAGCTAGTGACAGAAATGAAATATTAATGCATTTCTTCAGAAATTCCTAGACAATGATGCTCTTACCATAACATACACTCAACTCTCAAATGCCTACAAGGACTGAATTTAATGTAAAGGTAGCAGGGCAGGTGTAAAACAATAGGAACTATCTGCTTGTATTGTGATCCTGCATCATACCCTACTATTTATATTGAAAACACTCTGTAAGCCAAATATGTACAGCAAAATAAATAAATAAATATTTTAAAAAATTAAGCCACTGGCAATGACACCTGATATAAAAGATATAGGTTTTGTGAGGATCATGGAAGACTTGCTGCCATGAAATATCTTGGGAAAGTTTTAGCATGATTCATCCAGCCAATGAATTGTACAGTGTGTTAGAGCAAGAATATATATACATATATATATTTTTTATTTTTACATTCCCCATACAATTGCAACCCCCTGATTTTGACCCCAATCCCTCCTTTCTCCACCACAACCCCACCGAAGTGTGTCTCTGGTTCATAGTTGTTAGCTGATTTTGATTTTTTTCTTTCTTATAGTTATTCTTTTTCCTGGTCCTTTATTTAGGTTGTCTAGATTCCTGTAATGAATGAGATCATCTGGTATTTTTCTTTTTCTTTCTGGCTTATTTCGCTGAGCATGATCCCTTCCAGCTCCATCCATGTTGCTGCAAATTGCATGTGTAGAGCAAGAACATATTAAGTACATACTGAAGAGGGGCAGCAAATAGAGGAGGCTTGCAGAAAATTAGTTAAGCTGTGGATTCCTTAGAAAAGAGTCAAAATATGATGACAACCTGATAGCAAAGTAAACAAAGAATATCCTGACAGGCAAATAACCATGAAAAGATGTTCAACCATATTAAAAACTCAAGGACAAACAACTTAAAACAATAAGATAATTTCTACCCACTGGCATAGTGAAAATTTGTGTATGTCACCACTGACTTCTGTCAAGACATCCTCGGACATCCTTTATCACTTGTGGTGCAAGAGTTGGTTACATGGTCACTTTGGAAAGAAATTTGGTCATGTCCAATAAAACTGAAATGACCTAGCTTATAATGCTTCATTCCTTTCTAGATGTTAACATTTTTTCACTTCATTGTCTGGGTTACTTATGTGTATTCAACTTAAGGAAATTCATTGCATTACAGACTTGAAGTGTATGTACAGTTTTTGTAGGTGTGTTTCACTTCAATACAAAATTTTTAAAAAAAGATTTATTTTTTTACGCATTCAAGACCTGGGGTGTAGACAAGAGGTGCAGGGGGTGAGAGGATTCACCAGCAATAGAGTGGGAAGCAGAACAGGAAGATCGTCTGAAATACACTGCTGATGGAGCAGCGGGCAAGACAGGAGAGTTCTGCTGTGCCATGTGGGTAGCTCCCTGGCTGGGGATCGAAGCCATGTCTCAGTGGTTGGTGATAGCTTGATAGCACTGTGATTTAATCCCTGCACCACAAGGGATGCCCTTCAATACAAATTTATAAAAGAGACTCTGAGAAGCTTCTGGGAGAGGGCAGAAGCTGGTTAAGTCATATGGTAGTGAGAGAGAAAAAATAATAGAAGCCATGAATAGGAAATAGCTGTAAAAAATTTTTCTGAATTTTTTGGCATCCACTCTGGTCCAGATGGATCATTTCTTGACCTGTGACTACTGCAGAGAAACATTTAAGTATCTTTACAAGGAGTCATGCGAGCAAGCAAACAAACCAAAAATGCCTTTTCAACAATCTACACGTTAGCTCTCCTGGTTCCCAGCTTGTTGCCTGCAGATGTTGGGCTCAGCCTCTGTAGTTACAGGAGCCAAAAGCTGACTCATTATTCTTTCTATCCCCTCCCCCTTAATCTATTTCTCGACTGATGGATCTATCTATCACCCAGAACTAAATATAGTTCTCTATATATTTGTTCTGTTTCCCTGGAGAACCACACTGATACACATTACTTCTAGCTGTTCACTTGAATTAGTTCCTAGAGGTTCCACAAAAATTATAGGGACATTGATGAACCACAGAACTTAGAGTAAAACCAAGAGACAACTTCTAGAAAAGCTTAAATGATAAAGATGGAAAATATCATAGGTTGGTAAGGATGTGAAGAATGAAAATCTATCATGCACTACTGTAGAGATGTAAATTGTTACCAGAATTTTAGAAAACTTCTTGACAGTTTTATCTAAAGCTGAACACATGTATATTCTATGACCCAGCAGTTTCACTGCTAGGAAAATACCCAACGCAAATGAGTATTTACGTAAACCAAAAAAATAATTAAAGATGAGTAGAACAACTCTGTACGTAATTTACCCTAACTGGAAATTGCCTAAGTGCTCATCAACAGTCAAGTGGATAAATACACTGTAGAATATTCATACAATAGAAAATATACACCAATGAGACAATGATCTACAGCTACTGAGAGCACATTGAAATAATCTGGATTGCTATTAAAAAAAAATTGATGCTTAGATGCCACCCCCAAAGTTCTGATTAGATTGTATTAGAGTGCAGTCTCAGCACTACAAACTTAAAAATCTTCTCAGTGATTCTAATGTGTACCTAGGCAAGAGAAAACCTCTCCTAGCAGGACAGCAATTTCTGGGTTTCAAACCCATTATGTGACTTTTGCTGGCTGCCTGAGGCATTCACTCTGGGGCTCCTGTCCTGTCCTAATTGTCAGGCAGCTGCCAGGTCTTCAGCCCCGAGGGCTCCTTCTAACACTCCCAGGACCCACAGCAAGCTTGACCTAATTCTGGCTCCTTTCTTAAGACCTAGTTTGAGTCACTGGGTACCCATAGTATCAGAGGAGTTTAGAAAGGAAAGGAACTTTTCCATTTCTTCATTGCTGTCTCCAATTTTCTTATCTCTCAATGACAAGAAGTCATTTTAACCTCCATTTTAGAGACCCTCACACACAGTTTGGCTCATATTTCCATGTGGAAGTGTTCCTTTCCTTGAAAACAAACATCTACCTAATTTATCATTTGATAAGGAAGGGAGGATGACTTATAACTCATTGTTTAGATATCCTCTGCCCTTAGGGTGGTTCTGTAATTCATTTTGCATTTCTGACCTCAGGGAGGTGGGTCCTCTGCTGAATACCTGTGTTTGAGAATGCAATAGATCCTGGACTGGGGCATCTCAATAAGTTGCCATTGCGACTTGGAGATATCAAAAGAAAAATTTGCATAAGCTGCTGTGAAATTCTATAAGAGGTATCTATTATTTATTCTTCATGCTTCTGAGATAAATTCAAATTGTGGGGCTTTG